TGTGAGTGTGTGCGACTCTGTGCTTGTGTGTCCGAAAACTAGCTAGTGTTTTTTCATGGCTGCCTACTGTAGGAGCAATTTGTGCATAAGGCTATTTGAAGCCAATTATAATCTGTGAACCATGCAGTGCCCCTGACTCAGCTGCAACTCACCCAAATTATTCAGCAGCTTCACTGTGGCTGTGAGCTACAGAACAAGCACTCCCTCTCTTATGAGCATCAGAGCCGCACGCTTATGCTGCTGAACAGTTGAATTTACTACAGTGCATTCTGTACAATTAGTTTATTTGATACACACAGCTTAAACCAATAAGTGTGATGCAACATGTCTGCAATAATATGGAAACAAACTGTTAATATCTCAGAGTTTAGGCTGGGTTAAAACTTTAAAGCAGCAAACATGATTTAAGATAATTAATCCTTTATTGATCCCCAGAGGGGAAACTCAAGCGTTGCAGCAGTACAAAGTAATGAATGGTCATTTTAAAGGCTTTTAAATCATTTCGAAGATTAAGGTGTGTATTTCCTACTCTGTTCCTTTTAAATGAGGTCTGTAAAACATTTTTTTAATTAAAAATACCCAACATCAAACTGTATTTGACCTTGTAATAAAAGAAAAACAACACAATTAAGCAATAGCCCAGCTAGAACTATGAACACTAAATAATTGATAAGCATTTATGCATAAGCAGGTCGTAAAAACTTTGAACATTTTACTTTATGAAGGCAGGATTACACTGCTATAGTGTTGGTTCACCTAATAAACTGACATTCGTGTATACATAGTACACACAAAGTATACTAAGTATCTCTACATATGAAATACCTTGAATCTTACAACATCCTAATGGTCATCTCTGTCTGAGTTCATGTGTTGACTCTGCCACTCTCCCTAAACATACGACCTCTCTTTGTCAGGCTGAGCTGGAGGCTTCATATTTGATTTTCCTTTTAATGATGAAAAAGCTAAACACAGTGCATTGTGAATCCATAAAAATGATTTTCTACAAGAGGACTTTGTCTTCTGTGTTTGAGGTAATCCCTATTGTCGGGGAAATGAGACAGGAAAATGACCCTGAACGATACTTACACAAATCTATTCATGAAAGGTATTTGTGCATTCTCTCACAATATCACATTGGGATTTAAGACTGTATAAAGAAACATGACTGTCTGAAGTATGCCACACTGGTATATGAATTGAAAACTAGATTCATAATGTGCATCTATGCTGTTGTTATTTTTGTTTGCATCTACTGTATGTTTGTCAGTGAAGCTCAAACACTCAACTTTGTGAAATGAAACTTTAAATACAAAAGTACACACCAAGGTAAGGCATGAGTATCCCATTTTGACAGCAGTTGATTTCAGTAGTTTTTCCTGCTTGTGTATTTTCATAAAAACAAATAGATGTTTATGCACTGTTTCACTGGCGACCCCTCAGAGACACCCATAGGTGCTATTTCCGCTGTACAAGCGTGGGTGTGATAATTAGAGCTGCAGAACAAAGGCTGCTATTGAACACGAACTACAGCCTCGAATTGCCTGTCAAATTCCTGCTATTTCTTACTGTTGCTGTATAAAAAAAACAACTTACAGGACGCCCACTTTCTTTTCTTCACTTGCTGTTCTTGCCTTCACTTCTACCAAGTATCTCTCTTTCTCTGTCTAGTCTCACTCAGTAATTGCCACTCTACTGGAGCCTGATGTTTAAAACAACAGGGCTTATCTTGAACTCCATGCAGCAGGGATGGCCAGCAGAACTACAAACAAACATGGAAGAATTTTACAAAAGGGAGGGAGCAGCCTTGTTTTCTGATTTTGCACGAAAAACTGAAAATTACTCAACACATTTAGGGTGTTTACATCTAAATGCTTTACATTGTACAGAATGTGCATTGTAATTCTCTGTACTTGCATTTTTAGATTTAGTGTACATTGGAGCTCTTTTACATTGCCATTACATTAAAGAATCATCATAGTTTATTTTTAGGTCTTTTTTTAAATATAGCAAAATTACTTACAACTATATTGTAGACTATCCATATGTAAGCTTGCACTTCAATCAAATTTTCAAAGACTGAAACACGATCATTAAACATTAACATAACAGCTTAAGACCTGTTGCACAATTTTTGAAGATTGTCAAGTTTTTTTTTAATGCAATCACAAAACATCATGTTTTCAGTCATTAGTCAGTCAAAGTCATTATAATGCTGCCCTTAAATGTTATGTCAAATATCATCAACTTTTTAGTAACACAACCATAACCTGGAAGTGGGAGGAGTGCAGGGAGAGAGAGAGAGAGAGAGAGAGAGAGAGAGAGAGAGAGAGAGAACAGGGGCTGAACATGGCAAACCTTTAAAATTTCATAAGGCAATGAAAGAACAGACAATTTTTTAGCTTGAAATTGTCATGTTTGTTTTCTAATTTTTCAGTAATCCAGTATACTTCTAAAATATAATGAATGTGTATAAAATAATGTGAATATGGACATCAGTGAGAAGTGTGGATTTTTTTACAACATGTCGTTACATGTGGCATTATGCATTAGCAGTTGTTTGTGTTATGAGTTGTTAAAGTGGCCTGTATATTGAACTGTGGCCGTAGAAATGCACAGAATGATAGTATACTGCGCAACATACGTATTTTTGTTCAATTTATGGATTGGTATAGTTTGCTTTGGACAGTAAGAATACAGAAAGTCTTCGGAAGAATAGACACAAAGGTACATGGACGGAGCGATATAGAGATAATAAGCTACTGTCTGTGGCAAAAGCTTTGTACTGTCAGATGGCAGCTGGTACAAATGATGACTTGAAACACTCCTTTGTACGTATAGCTGCATCAGCTCTGCAACAACACAGGGTGGGAGGCTTCATCCAAGATAAATTAATCATCCGCCCCCCTGCCGACGCCTCCAGGGTGTCGACGCTCAGCCCTGTGACTCTGCCAGCCTCAAGAGGACAGGGTCAGTGATCAGAATGCTTCATGGTCTGCGCTGTCTGAGGAGGCGTTGGGGAATGTGAAGCATTTTGGAAGGTGTGCGGCACAATGTCAGATTTTGAAGCAGCTGATATACTCTGCTGCCTTACAGTCGAGCTAATAAATGATATATCATACATGGATCCACTTCAGTCTGAGAAATTATTTCCAGCTCCTGGGCAAGTGAACAAAACTTTTTTAAAAACATAAATTTAACTTAAAAGTGCTAATTAAGGGTCAAATTCTCAAACAAAGATATCATAATCCAATGACTAAGGTGTTGCACCATGAATAATTGTGCTAATGGCACCCTTTACTTCACATACATGTTCATTTATCTTGATTTGTGGTGACACTTTTGTTTATATTCAGACTGTTATTTATGTCAAATATGAGCTCGGGTTTCACACACAAGACCTGTGTTCAACGCTACATGTTTTAATGCACAAAAACAAAAAAACACAAAACAGTGAATCCATCTGATTCAGTGTGCTCATAAACACCTCTGTTGCTGCAAGTCATTACACATTTATAAGAAAACACAAGTTACCGAGCTGTGAATCATCAGTAATGAGAACTGTGAGCTAACGGCGTAATTGAAAATAAATTGACCTGAATACATTGCCTGCCATCAAGCGTGAAGCACAGAAATTTTCAAATATGCGATAAATAAGTTTATAGTGGTCCTGTCCTCCACCAGTCTCCGATATTTGTGACGTGAAGTTTTATATATATATATAGAGAGCCAGAGATAGCAAACAGAGAGAGAGGAATAAGGGGTCAGAGATAAACAGAGAGACAGAGATGTGTATAGAGATAGAAGGAAGAGGATACACAGGAATATATAGAGGTGAGAGATGGGGGGGTAATGGATAGAGAAAGAGAGATAAGATATGAGGAAATAAAGACGAATAGACAGATAGACAGAGATAAGGATTGAGAGAGATTAACAGAGATAATAAGAAAGATAAGATAGACAGAGCTGACATTGGCGTCTCACAGACATCTCCTTTACATGACTCACTGAGAGCAGACATGGAAGACGGCGTGTTTATTCACAGCCACAATTGATGGATTGAGTTTGACAGTTTGCACATGTCTTACCAATCATTGAATTTGGTTAGAAGTTAAGAGAACCAAAATCTCTCCTGGGCTTTACAGAGCTTTAAGGTGAATTTCAGCTCATATAGCTTGCCTGCAACTTTACTCTTGATAAGTTTACCATGTCATCCGAAATTAACCATTATATGTCAGTTTTGTTTTCGCAACTTGTTTCTTCCGCTCCAAAAAGACAAAAAAAGAGTAATTGGAAGTTAAGCAGCTATAAATAAGGCATTGTTTTTTCAAATACATATGTTAGTTTTTCTTCTCTATGATGTACATTTAATCCAATGAGGCATTTTTTTTGTGATTTTACTTAGACTTAAGCAAATACTTTCATTTAGTGTCTCACTCATTATAGGGAGGACTTTCTAATGATAGCTGTATTCTATAGTCTGGGGGTTGTGGTTTTGTGCATGCTGGGTCATGGTGTTTTTAAAGAGGGGGATGTTTACACTTGTTCACAGTGTATGACTGAACGGGTCTTACTACTTTCTGTATCTCTCCATGTCAGGGGGGCTTCACTGGAAAATAGGTCACTGAATTTCTTTCTATACTTCAGCTGGCTTTACTTTATTCTAATGAATTGGACCTGAAGGTTTCCTGAGATTGTACATTTTGGAGAAAAAAACGTCCGGTCACATTACTCACAGTTCACAGTGGCATTAGTCTTCCTCCTCCGAAAATAAACTCACCAGACTCGACACCCGAATTGCACGGACAATTCTTCCAAAAATTGACTACTTATTCAATCTCTCGCGCGAGACCTGGGGGGAGGGAATCCCTCATTCCCGCTTTCCTACCGTCAAAAGCCATAAAAAGAGCAGAAATGAACAGCAAAATCCAAAAGCAAATATTGATATTTTATTGCAGATTTTGTGTGTACATTTTGGTCATGAAGGTGTCCAGAGGGTACATAAAAAGACTAATGCAATCAAATCAACTTTGTTGCTGTCTTTCACAGATCCAAGACTCTAATCATCATTCAGCTAATAACCTTGCTTTTAAAGGGTTACAATCCTGAAAATAATTTAATGTTTGGTAGTTCTGAGCAAGTCAGAAGTGTGTTTAAATTCACAACGGAAAATATAAATACATTTGAGGAAGGCACAAGGGTTAATGTTCCAGCAGTGGTGTTGTTTTACCTTGATATACTGAAGAAGCTCATCACGAGGCAGGATACTGCTCTCCACTGTGGCAGCGGTCAGCTCTGGAGCCGGCTCTTTGTCCAACATGAAGAACTCCACACTCCGTACACTTCCCTGTCAACCACCACAAAGCATTATCTCTATCTTAAAATAGAACTTGTAAACTAAAAGTGGTACTAAGGGGAGATAGATATAAGTTTGAATCTTACACACTTGTATATTGTAAAATGGGTTTTTCATAAAAGACACACCTTCTGAAAGTGAAGTCTGCAGTTGTATTTCTTGTGCAGGTCCAGGAACTGACGGAGGTGGGACACCAGGGACTAGAATTCTCCACCTTTTTGGAATCATAATTATCCTCCTTAAAAAGAACAAAAGTAAAACATAGGTCAGGGTAGTCTGTAGAGCTGCGCAAATCGTTATCCCAATGAAAAGATTTGCAACAATTTTTTTCACTTCCTCCACCTAATGGCATGTACAGCTGCAAATCTGTACATGCAACAGATTACAGATTACAAGTTACAGATATCATAAAGTGCCTGGCGCTCATACACCAACAGCGATTGGTTATTTACAACCAGCAAAGACGCCAGTATAAACACAATAAACAACTGAGACAATAAAGACGTAACAATAGGGAGACTACATGCCATGACACCTGGCGCCATCTCACCATAAAGCGCACAACTCTGTTAGTTTAATATAATCCTACAAAAAAGGGAAAAAAAGATCACTCTGGAAGCTGTCTCACTAATGATGATTGTAAAACCATTTTTAATACAGTGCATTACGAAATGAAATTTAAATAAATGTGAATCAGAAAATATCTTTCTTCCCATAATAACACATCAATACATTTTTTATTACAGTTTACAATAAGGCTGAGATAGACAGATAGACAGGCGGACAGTCAGTCCCTTACCTCTAAATCCAGCTCAAATGTGACGGTAAACTTTTCAGCCTCTTAAAACGTGTTTGTGAAGAAGTTTGCTAAGTCTGGGAATCAAAGAGTCAAGAAGTCAACTAAGTCAAAATAATTATGAAAATATTTTACAAAATGGAAGAAACATAGAAATGCATCCAACTAAAGTTAAGTACCTGTTCTCGGCAAAGCCTCTGTGAAGCATCTGACGACGACACAAGAAATAGGCTCTCTTCGATTATTGTTGAGAACAAAAAAACAAAAGAAAAACAAAGACCGCTTAGTATGTTAAAACTTTTATCACATTCTTGATTCTGGATATTGAGCAGGCAAGTTAAATAAGATCTGCACAACAAGAAGCTCCCGTTTGAGTGACGTTTTGAGTCAACTGAGGAAGAGCATGTTGGCACTATGGTGTCTTGGTGTGCAAAATCAGAAGGACTAAAATATGTTACTGAAAGGAAGAATATGCGATTTTTTTGATCCAGCAGATGTCGTACTTGAGCACCAGCATGAAACCAAAACAATCAGCGCTGCATTGTTGTGTTAGAATGCTAATGCTAGCGATCTTTATTAAGCTCGTAGCTTCACACTGCATGTAAATTTACACAAAATGACCGTGATCTAGAAACGCTTACGTGACATTCAAATAAGCAGTGAGTACTGTACGTTCATTTTCATTTCTCTAGTCCCTCAATGAAACAACTTTTATAAGCAAGGGGATGAGACTGCCTGCCGTCCCGGCGATGTAAACACGCGGTAGATACTGCTCGGAAAGCTTGGAAAACATCACAGACAGTGGGACTCGGGTGCCACATTCATTGTAGACAGTCATGAATCACAGAGTTATTTTCAGAGGATATACTTGATTTCTGCTACATTTAAGTGTTAAAAATCACATTCATTTAAATGTGCAGAAATAATTAGGCCTTACTAATCACGTAAAGGGTTAACTCATGGTAAATCATCATTATTGTGATATTTATTAATTTTTTATACTTGGTGGAGGGCTTTTCGCGGCCCACCTGCAGTACCCACACGGCACACCACAACTGTTTTTTTCCTCTCTCCAACAACTTAGCCATGTACAAGACAAAATCAGCAAAGAGATAAGAAAAAACACCCTAAGTGATGCCACAAAAAACAAATGTTCCTCACAGGATCTTTAAGACTTGCCAAAAAGATAGAAAAGGAGTTTCAAAAGCTGTAACTAGGAGACTATCTCACATGAAATGGAGCTGATGTGTCAAACTGTACTCATGAGCTGCTCAAGAAGAAGATAAAGGGAGGCATACAGACTCAAAGAGATGAAATAGGAACTCAAATACTGAGACAAAGATTGACTTCAGTTTTATAAGCCTTTGGAAAACCCCTTCGAGTGATCCATAAAGTATTTATTCCTTCCTGCAAGCAGTGTCCAAAGGATTTTTCATGGTACATTGGCCCTCTGTACACAACATCATATCAAGCTATCCTCTGTATCAGCCTTTGGAGCATTGTTAACATTTGAATGCACAAAGACTCAACAGTTTCCTGTGCCTGAAGATGAATGTGCATTAAAATTTGATCACATTCATTTTTACAAGTGGCATGAGAAGTTTAAATCCTGAACACACACGCACACACACACACACACACACACACACACACACACACACACACACACACACTTAAGTAAGTTACTTTATTCATTTCATCACAAATTGTGAACTGTAAATGATGCTATACTTTGTTAGTATTTGGTGTAATGTTTGTTGTGTGAACACTGCAATAGCATAAACAGCAGCAGGAGTAATTCTAGAAACGACATTTCCTGTCTTGTTAAACACATTGGAAACTACAGGAAAGATGTTCTGAAGACTTTAAGCGTTCACTATTCACTCACATACAGAAAAGTAAAATGTAAAAGGGTAGTCATTTTCATGAATAATTAATATGACATTGACAGAATTGCACGGAACTAAATGTTAAATCAACATTTCATCATCCCACATTTTACTTAAAGTTGGGTACAAGCTTAAAAAGTCAACCCAAAGTCCAACTATTTCAGTTTTGGACTAAAACTCAATTAAAAGAAATCTGAACTTGATGTGAAAAATCAAGTAATAATGGACACTAAGATGGAAAATGTTCATCTGTACATAATAATGTACAATTATTTTAGGTAGGTTTGGATGGATGCTTACAAAGATCTCCAAAGTTCCATCAGTGAATTGCAGCTGGCAACTAATTGCAAGTGGGAGCCTTTCTCCTCAGGGGGTAAAGCACATGTTCTGTCAATTCAATGAGACATTCGACAACATTTTTAGCTCTCTGCACCAAAACCAGTTTCATCAGGTTTAAAGAAAGCTAAAAACACCATTTGGAGGATCCAACTCAGAACACTTGTATTCCAAAGTCTGTAAGTCTAATAGGAAATTAAAAGTTACATCTAGAGAAAAAAAGATGAAAGTGGTTAGAGTTGGATGGTGAGTGAGAGAAGGGGGAACAAGTGGAGGGTAAAAAGGTCCTGAGTTCCAAGTGGTCAAGGTCTCAAGATCTGACTGCCACAAAGGAGAGAATGGAAAAGGATAGAGGAGATGTAGTCCCCTTGAGGTTCAATCTGCACCTTCCCGGGAGAGGAAGGGAACATGCAGGAGAAGAACAGCAGGACTGCAAGAAAGCCAACATTCTTATGTAACCATATGTTTGGAAGTTTAACTAATATACCAATTAAGGAGTCAAGGCAGCAATGAAAGCTAAGACATATTACCCAATGTGTTAATCTGTGAAATGTGTTTGCCTTGCTTCAAACACAACTTGACTTTCAGAATGTTGCACTCCCTGTAGAAGCTAAAACCTCTCAATCCGCCAATAATGAGAAGTCTCTCCACTCTGGGTGTGGAGTTGCTGACACAAAGCTTCAGAGTGATACATGGCTTATGAGTGTGTGACTAATAGAAATAGAGGGATAATCCCTCTCACTGCTTGGGTCTGCAACCGACTGGCTTTGGTAAAGAGGAGAGGGGCTGATACCTCGCCTTTTTAATCCCCAAAAAAGATAGACGGAGAGAGGAAACGGTAAGAAAGGAGGAGGGAGGGAAAGGAATCATGAGGTAAACATAATAAAAAAACAAGAAACAAAATCAGACAGCCAATACATGTTGTTATCACCATGGTTACGGAGAGGAAGAAAATGGCCGAAGCCTCAAGAATGAGTCACCAGCTAATCAGAGAAAACATGATAATGATATTGTGAGAAGAAACTCCCAGGGAAGAGAACAGTTGGCTGTTGAGGAAGCGGATTTATGTGGGGGTGATGCAACAATAAAAAACACCTACCGAGGCGTAAATGTGACTGCAAGTGATTTCCTTTTCATTGAAATGTGACTGGTTCTGCGGTTCAGACAGAATTTCACACCACCTGATTCGGGTAAAGCCATTCATCAAAAACCCTGATGGCTTCTCCCAGTGAGGAAACATTTGAATAAGCCATGTTGAGATCAAATCTGGACAGTAGTCATGTTTCATATCATTGATAATGTTGGCTTTATTTGAATTAAATTAGTACTAACTGCTGCTATTGTTTTTATTTCAGTTATTTAGATCGTTTGTAACTCATGTCTTAAAAAACTTCGATTGTTTTTCCCCTCTATTGCAGTGGGGTCTGTATAGTGACTGAGAAAACATACCATTTATATGTTATAAAAAAGTATTCTGCCGTTGGTTACATAATTTTGTTGTGCACCAAAAAATGTCATTGGATAGTAACTAACAAACCATCATCTAAATCCCATTAATCTGCTGCATGTTAACAGTTAAAACACATGTTGGTTACTGTGTAGTTTTTAAGTTTGTAGATTTGAACAATTTGATAGGCTTTTAATGACAGTGAATCCAGATACTTTGAATGACTGTAATTTGGATAAAAATTAGAGGCAGTGAGAAAAAAGCTTTATATTGTCAGCCACTAAAACCTGTTTACATTTTATACTATTAAATATTGGATGATATAATGTTTTGAAGTAGGCGATATTGGGTTTATTATTAGCATATTTTGTCTGGGTTCATCCTGTTGATTCAGTTAATATTCTTTGGCTTTCTAGTTCTTTCCGGTGGAGCAACTCAAACGGAGAGTCGTGACAGCAAGCTGAGGATGTCGGGCAGAACATCTTTGGATCCGTGGCGGTAAATCTGGAGGGATTGAGTTTGCAAACGGAGGCTGGAAACGGAAAGGGATGTACAGATTAATGGATTCAGAGAGCTCTTAAATTTGTGCAGAGGGGAAGAAAGGGAAGCTCCTTTGATCAGAGCTGCTTCTAATCCCATAGACATTTCAGTAATTAAGCTAAACTAAGATAATCTCTCTGCGACAGGGACATTAAAAAGGCTTCCATTTTCATTCCCCTCATGCTGGGTCTGTAAAACATCTCCTTCTTTAGAGAGGAACTCTTCCCATTAATATCTCTGCATACACGCAAAAGTGTTTTAAATTCCTCTGATTAATCACACCTGTAATCAGGCAGAAGTTGGCTGGAGCTATGCTAGAAATTAAGGTTCTGAAATACCGTGAGGTGAAATCATAAAATGGAAATGTTCATAGAGAGTGCAAAGAGTGATATACTGTATATCTCTAACTGTGCAGCCGTTAGATCCATGTCTATGCATTTGTTACTGTGAAAAAAACTCTAATTCAAAAACATCAACTCTGTTTAAAGGGATACTTCACCCGTTGAAACATGAATCTGTATTGACATTGGGTCATATATGTAATAGAAATGTGAACTAAATTTTGAAGTTGGTGCCTTCTTGGCCAAGAAAAGGCAGAAAGTGTCTTTTTGGCTCATGTGGATGAAAGACACCAAATCCCAGAATATTGTGCCACTCCCACTAAGGTCAGGTTTAGAGACATATTTAGCCTACTTCAACACAAGGCTGTTTCCTCAACTGAGTCTGAGATTTCTTCCAGAAGGAATTGGTATCTTGTAAATTCCTGGCAGAAAACAGACACTATGTCTGTGTCCATAGGCAAACAGTGAGAGCACCGACACTACCAGTCTGCCCCAGCTCGAGCCGCCACAGCTCCTCGTCC